GTTTTAGTTAAATATATTGTGAAGCTTTTCATGAAGCTTTGATTCAGGGTTTGTTGTGTATATATATAAAATGCAGTCTATATTGACAAAGCCCCTGAGTTTAGATTGTATATTTTGAAGAAGAGGAGTTGGGTTGTTGGGGATGAAAGTGATGTCACAATAAGTATTGTGGATTAATGTTGCAGATGGACTGAATCACACAATTATTTGTGGAATTTCAAGAAAGAAACTCTGCATCTTTTTTCTCAAAGCTACGAGATTATCAACTTTTCCCTACCCAGAGAAGTATTCCCTACCCTGGCAGTATTATCATCAGTCACCTGCAAAATCTACTAAAAGAGATTTAAGTTCCTATAAGGGCACAGGGGTCCAAAAAATGGAATTCTTGGGATCTCTCTGTTTGTGTGTGAAACAGTGGAGATAACACTATTGTGGAGATAACACTATAGCCTTGGTGGTGCAGTGGACTAAAGTGTTGTTAAGTAGCACCAGCTGTCTGCAATTACTGCAAGTTCAAATCTCACCAGGCTCAAGGTTGACTCAGCCTTCCATCCTTTCGAGGTAGGTAAAATGAGGACCTGGATTGTGGGGGCAATAAGCTGACTTTGTATAAAAAAGAACACCGCTCAGGGAGGGCCAAAAGCCCTACTAAGCAGGTATATACAAAAGTATGAAGGCTATTGCTTAACATATTGTAAGCCGCCCTGAGTCTCTGGAGAAGGGCGGCATATAAATCGAACCAATAAACAAACAAACAAACAAACAAACAAACAAATAAATATATAAATTTCAATTTGAGTATAGTAGTTACAGTGGTGTGCTAGGACTGAAGAAATCTTGGTTCAAATTCTTAGCCATGGAATCATGGGTTATATGGAACCATTCATTTTTTATTTGCCCAACTTATGTCACAAAGTTATTGCAGGGAAATATTAGAGAATAAAGTACACTGTGTGCTACCTTGAACTCACAGAAGAGAGGTGGGATATACAGTACATCTAAGAAATAAATAATAGATGAGGGTAACTAAGAGGAATATGATTATGTAATATGTATTACGTATGACGGTACTATGCATACCATTGTTAAGTATTTAAAGGCAGCATTTGTTTTCAGGCTTATAAATGTATGCATATTACGGGAAAATGACAAGAAAAAAAAGGCATAATGTTTTAGTTGAATGTATAGATAGGTATGATAACATTCTGTTTGCCCAGAAGAGTTAACTTCTGTATAACCTTAGCATGAAATGTTAATAAACCAGGAGCTATATTTGGGGGACTGGGGTGGGGAAACCTCTGTGGAAGAAAGAAAAAAGAAGAAATTGACTGTTTTAGAAAATTGAGATATTTTTAAAATATTTCTCAATCTAGCATGAGAAAGTTGAGGTAAACTGATGTTTGCAAAAAGAAAAAGAAAAGGAAAAAGAAAGAAATGAATTACCAAAAGCTAAGTAGAGAGCTGAAGAAATAATACATTTCTCAGTAAAGGTATTATTAGCCAACTGGTAGAAAAGTGTTAAAATATAAGGATTCACTCTTCCTTACTGAAGTTACTTCTTAGCAGTCACATCATCTTTTATATTTTTTTATAAATACATTTGTTATTTTTGTTTCACTGTAGATAAATGTGTCAGAAATTTGATTTAATATACTCAGTCTACATTGTCACCAGAGATAAGTGAGAATAGTATTATAATATTTTGGAAAAGCAGATCACATATGTACAAACTGATTTTAAACAGCGGCAGTGAATTAGAAGTATATTTTACAGAACAGAAAAGTACAATCTGTATAAGCTAAAAGGCTACCCTGAATTTAGAATCACATCTTAAGAGCCACAATGAAAAAGTTTGCAAGGCTAAGGTCAAACATGAGTCAATATTTGTGGGAAGAAGGGTCCGTGGGGTATAGTGTATATTCTTAAACTTCTTTAATTTTGTTTCCCATTGAAATAATCTCAAATCCCAGTTATTCACTAAAGAGCCAAATATATTTGATCTTGTTCTCTGTCAGCCTGCCATCTTCAGCATACTCCTCTTCCCTGGAATCCTGCCATAAAATGCAGGGGCGGGGGAGGCAATTGGGGAAGTAAGGAAGGAGCATGGGAATAGGCAGAGAAAACGGGGGGTGAGATGACAGGGTGACAAGAACCAGTTCAGAATGAACTGGCTGATCAAGGATGGAGCCTGAAAATGGAATGTGAAACCATAGCAAAGAGGAGCCAAACCTCAAAACTGTTCCTGAAATATCAAAAATGAATATAATTGGACACTGATGAACTGGTCAAGGTGGGAAAGCCAGGGAAAGGAGAAAAATGCAAGATTTGCGCAGGAATACTCAGATCCAGCTTTGCTTATGTTGTAACCACTTGAACTTAGTAAAAGTAAACCTTTTGCTTTATCAATGGAGTCAAGGGTCATTCTTTCCTAAGGGACCAAGTTGGGATACACCTGACACTCTCTCACAGAGCTATAAAAAAGTTTTGATTCACCTAATGGGGCTATGAAATACACTTTTGCTCCCTTTTTATAGCATCACATTTTTTTAACAAATGGAGTATTAAAAAATGCATATTTGTCAAGTAATTATAATATGTACTGTGATACTTGCTCAACTAGGAAATTATGTAAAACATGCAGAAAATTAAAAAGGGATAATTTCTGAAAATATGTAATGACTTGTATATCACAACTAAGTTTTGCAGACATACATTTGTTGGGTGTTGTGAGTAATTTGTAGGATTTTATATTTTCAGTTCATACTGACTAGAATAGGGGCCCCCAACCTCTGGGCCGCGGCCCACTTGTGGGCAGTGAGGTGTTTTCAACCAGGCCATGGATCTCCACTTGCGTGAGCAGCGGGGAAGCACAAATGGAAGTGCATGCATGCATGTGCTTGCCACCCGCTTGCGCACAACCATATCTTCTTCCTCCCCCTGCTGGTCCACAAAGCCGGAAAGGTTGGGGAACTCAGAGCTCAAAACAAAGACTTTCTTTCTAAATTTCAGCTTTAATTCAAGCTTTTGTAATCAAAACCATAGGTAAATCCTCAAGGGCTATTTCCTTGCATGCAAAATTACCTGTATACAATAAGACTTTGTACAGTGATTGTGGAGCCTTTTGTGGCCTTGTTAAAGCAGAACAAAGGGAAACAAAATCAGTTCTTTTATATCACCTTCAAGAACATAATTTATTGTCACAGGAAGTGTAACAAACCTAATCTGTTAAATCGGCGTGGCTTTATTTAGATGCACTTTCTTGATACTATTTCTGCCTCTTTTGTTTTTCTTTTTGCTATTGATAATTCTGGAGCTAAGACTGCCATCTGGAATTGTTGCTGCTGAATTTGGGTTAAAGTTTGTTGTTTTAATATTACTTTCTATCCCTCTATAGCAAGATAACTTGAAAATAGTTAGAGAAGAGGGTGCACATGGCAATCTCTTACCTGCCTCTCTCACCATGGGTCAACCACGGATCTAAAATGCTGCTAAGCCCAGTTTGGCTTCAGTTTGTGTTCAGTTTGATAAAGTAGGATCCAAACTCACTCAGAAATCCACACTCATATTCAAGAAAATGAAGAACACAATTTGCCTTCAGACCTTTTATTTAATACACGAAAGTCAAATAGAATGGTAGGAAAAGGGCAAGCGTGGGTCCTTTTCTCTACTGTATTCATTTTCATTTTCAAATTAATATTTATCTGAATACGGTAACTTGATAAATGTTCCTCTAAATAGGTATGTATCGTTTCTCGGCCTTTTGGCTAAGATCAAGTGTAGTATCAAGTGTAGTTCCTCTAAATAGGTTTTATAAAAAAAACCTCCAGGTACCGTATAATCCAGGAACATAGATTGGGACTTGGCTTTTGCAGTTAACATTTTTCAATTCTTCATGTAATTGCATGGGGAATGGAAGAAATCTTATTTTATCATATTTCAGTATCTGGTTTTCTTTTCCAAAGAAATTGGAAGTTGCTAGAGGAATTATTTAAAGCCATTTAGAAAAGATAGGATGTCTTTCCCATAGCTATGGTACTTGTGCCTTAATTCTATTGACTCCTCTGCCAGCTGTTTGTTCATTAGCAAGAACTTGCTTTGTTTTCTTGATGTGGAGCCAGAATTCATGCTGTAATTTCTACCCATTTCTTTTTTATTTGCCTTGCAAGAAATTAATTTTAAGCCTGGATTTTTGGGGAAGCTGTTTGATAACAACAGAAACATACTTGTGTTCTGCATCTAGAAATAAAATCTATAGCATAGATAAAGGATAGTAAGAATATATTAATTTTGGTTATTATATAGAAGGTAAAATGTATATTTACTAAAAGCTTTAGTGGTGATTAATGAAAGCTCACAGGAAAATTTTCATTTGCTAATGCTGAATATTGTATTTCTTTAAAGACACATGTCCAGTATACTTGCCCCCCCCCCCCCGCGATGCTGTCATTCCTAGACAAGGGGTGTCAAACTCGATTCCATTGAGGCCCACATTAGGGTTGTGTTTGACTTCAAGGGGCAGGTGTGGGCATAGCCAGGGTGGGCATGGCCAGCTTGACATCACTTGTGTCAGGGGCCACCTATGGTACCCGAAACGCTCTGCCAGTGAAAATGGACTCCTAAACTCCGTTTTCAGCTGGGATGGCCTCCTACAACCCTCTGCCAGCAAAAACCGAGCTCTATTTTCACTGGCAGAGGCACCACGGGCTGGTCCTTCATTGTTTTCAGGGTGGCCCCGTGGCCCAGTTCTAAGCACCCGTAGGGTGAATCCTACCCACGGGCCTTGAGTTTGACACCCTGTCCTAGACTATCAATGAAAAAGAGGAACTGAACATAATTTTTAGACCAAAGGTTTGGAAATGTCCTAATTTGCTATCATGAAAATGGCATCTCCTATGCATGTTTTGCTTTTGAATATCTTCTTCTTGAATATGTTCAGTGTGTTGATTCAGAAACTTCTGGAGTTGTTTTAATGATGCAAACTAAATTGATTTTTTCAATAGGAAATATATATCAAGACTGGAGAGGAATAGTGATATCAGATACCACAGTTCCATATACGATGCTCAAAAATGAACAACATCTAGCAAGATTAAAGGAAATAACAAAAAAGAAAAGGTCCAAGGAGGTATGTAAGATTGCTCCAGTTAGTAAAATGTGCAGTATAGTTTAAGAATTATAAAAAAGAATGATGAATGCAGACACCACAAGGATATTCACTCTGTCACTTTCTATTTTCCTATATAACATACTTCATTAAGTCTTAAGAATATAAATTAAAGAAAGAAGAAATCCATATGATCTTACCTACATTATTTTAAAATGTAGAAATATTTTTAACCTAAAAACTATGGTTGGATTGAGCTAGGCCCTTCCTAGTTGCAGAACAAAGAAAATTTCAGACTTAATTCCCAGTTATTATGGTGTAACAATGTCAGGCCATATTAGCTTAGCTTGGTAGGAGTTATGGTAATATATGAACATGTGGTTTTTTTAGTGGGGAAAATAGCTTTAAGAAAGAAGCATGCACAAAAAAGAAAGTTTACAGAATTCACCAGCTTTCTGGCTGCTGCTATTTGCAAAGTTTAAAGAAGTGAGCAATTAATCATGCACTAGTTTAAGTAGTTGGTTTAAGTACTTGGTGTACAAGTGGGAAACATTTTTACCATATTCTTGGAAGGTTGTTGTTTATAACAGAAATTCTGAATTACAGCAATACCTCCATTAATAATTTTATTATGTAAATCAGAAGGCAGAAATTTATGAAGTTTATGAGTCAGTGTTAAAATAAGGACACATGCATTTAATCATTCACAAGCCATAAATATTCAGTTAGTTGCAACCAGCTGCAGCTATGATAGTTCTGAGTTGCATCTAGAAATCTCCCTTGGATTATTGATATGCAGGTATGGGTCCTGCTGTCATTACTGGTGATGTGATGGAATAAAAATGTGAATTTTCTGTGAAGCACATTGTCAATGATATTGTATTATGAACTGTGATGATGCACATCAACCATAATTTTCTATTTCAACTTGGCACTTGTTAATTATCAGAAGTTGTTTCCTAATCTGCGCTAGCTGCAAGGAAGAAAACTGGTGAGGAAGGAATCAATAGTTTTCAGACTTAAAAGAATCATTGTGTCAACATAGATCAGGTGACTGCCTATGAAGGCCATCAAGAGGATAGCCAAGCATAATCATAATCATAAGTTTATTTGTCAAGCATATATAAGATAACAGGTAAAAGAATAAACATAATTTGAATACATGAAAAGAGTAAGTCAAAAGGAATATTAGGACAGGGATGGTAGGCACGCTGGTGCACTTATGCACGCCCCTTACAGACCTCTTAGGAATGGGGTGAGGACAACAGTAGGCAGTTTAAGATTAAAGTTTTGGGGGTTTGGGGAAGAAACTACAGAGTCAGGTAGTGCATTCCAGGCATTAACTACTCTGTACTGAAGTCATATTTTCTGCAATCGAGTTTGGAACAGTTTACTTTGAGTTTGTATCTATTATTTGCTTGTGTATTGTTGTGGTTGAAGCTGAAGTAGTCATTGACAGGAAGGACATTGTGGCAGATAATTTTATGTACTATGCTTAGGTCAGACTGAAGTCGGTGTAGTTCTAAGTTGTCTAAGCTCAAAATTTGGAGTCTAGTGGCATAAGGTATTTTATTGTGGTTAGAGGAATGGAAGACTCTTCTCATAAAATATCTCTGGACTCCCTCGATTGTATTTATGTCCGATATGCAGTGCGGGTTCCAGACAGATGAGCTGTATTCAAGAATTGGTCTAGCAAATGTTTTGTATGCTCTAGTTAGTAGTACAAGATTACTAGAGAAGAAGCTACACAAGATTAGGTTGACAACTCTTAATGCCTTTTTGGCAATGTTGTTACAGTGAGCTCGGGCAGTTAGATCTTTAGAAATGAGTACTCCAAGGTCCTTGACAGAGTGAGGGTCATCTACAAGGTCATGTCCATCTAATTTGTATTTTATGTTTTGATTTTTTTTTTTTGCCAATGTGTAAGACAGAGCATTTGTTGGTTGAGATTTGAAGTTGCCACTTGTTAGACTAATCTCACACATAGTCAAGGTCTTTTTGAAGGGTAGTTGCATTGTCGGTGATGTTGAATAGTTTAACATCATCAGCGAAGAGAACACAGTTGCTTTTAATATGATCACAAAGGTCATTTATGTAAAGTATGAAGAATGTTGGACCTAAGACATTGCCTTGGGTAACACCGCTATTAACATGTACAGGTTTTGATAGAGCGCTTCCTATTTTGACCACTTGTTGTCTGTTTGACAGGAAGGCAGCTATCCATTTATGTAGGGGTCCAGAAATGGCATAGGATTTTAGTTTTAGAAGTAATTTAGAAGCATCCATTAACTCAGAATCGGAAGAAAAATAAAATTCTAGAATTAGGTCAGTATAGGCTTAGACTTTTATAGTCCAGAGTAAACTGATTTTCTGCATATATAATTTCATTCTAGGGACTAATCTTTCTGAATCACATCTGGGGCCAAATAAATCAATCCCTGACTAAGGGATTAAATGTCTGAAAAGCTGAGATTTACAACACTGCCTGTTATAATGCCTGACATTACTCTCTCAAGCCTCTTGCCATCCAAAGAGTTTAAGAAAAACTCTAGACCAGGGGTGTCAAACTCGATTTCATTGAGGGCCACATGAGGGTTGTGTTTGACCTTGGGGGGATGGGGTGGGTGTGGCCAGGGTGGGCATGGCCAACTCAACATCACTCATGTTGGTGCCTGTGGTGCCCCAAATACTCTGCCAGAGAAAATGGGCTCCTGAGCTCCATTTTTGGCTATGACATCCTCCTGTAACCCTCTGCCAGTGAAAACTGAGCTTGAGAGGACTGTGTGCATTTTCACTGGCAGAGGGTTACAGGAGACCGTCGCAGCCAAAAATGGAGCTCAGGAGCTCGTTTTGTCTGGCAGAGGCACCACAGGCCGACCCTTCACTGTTTCCATGATGGTGGATGATCTTACCCAGCAGCTTTATGTAGATGTGAAAAAGGGATTGGGGAGAGTACCAAGCATTGTGACATGCCACAAGGCAGCAACCATGGGCTGGACGTCTCAGTCCCTATCAACACCAATTGGAACCAGCCTTGGAGAAAGGAGCCAAGGTGCTGCCTAACCCCAAACCCCATAGCTGGCCCAAAAGGATAATACAGTCAATAGTATTGAAGGCTGCGGAGAGGTCAAGGAGACCATGGATGGTTGCACTATCCTCATCCTGTTCTCAACAGAGATCATCAACAAATGTGATAAGTCTGTTAAATCCTAGAATAAATGAATGGTTTGAAACTATTTTTTCTACTGTAGATTCACAAATACAAACCCATACCATTTGTTAGCTACTCCATCACCCTGTGCATATCTTATTGCACCCATGCATCTCCATCTGCATGAGTAGTTAGACCAGGAGTTGTTAGACCAGGAGTGGGAGACTCTGCTCCAAATTGATCCTCAGCATGGAAACACATTGATGATACTCAACTGGATTATTTTGGACAGCTGCTTGCTCTCCTCAACCTACCACACAGGGTTACTGTGGGAAAAATTATGATCCAAAACATGTAATATTGTGTAATTATATTGCTGTTGCAGAAAGGTATCAGGGAAGAAGTACACTGCACTTTAAAATTTTAAAAATGATGAAAAGGGTACAAGTACTTCTTGACTTACAACAGTTCATTTAGTGACTGATCAAAGTTACGACATCACTGAAAAAAGTGACTTAGGACCAGAGGTGGGTTTCAGCAGGTTCTGACCAGTTCTGGAGAACCAGTAGTGGAAATTTTGAGTAGTTCGGAAAACCAGTAAATACCACCTCTGACTGGCTCTGCCCCCATCTATTTTCTGCCTCCCGAGTCCCAGTTGATTAGGAGGAAATGGGGATTTTGCAGTAACCTTCCCCTGGAGTGGGGTGGGAATGGAGATTTTACAGTATCCTTCCCCTGCCATGCCCACCAAGCCATGCCATGCCCACCAAGCCACGCCCACAGAACCGGTAATAAAAATTTTTGAAACCCACCACTGCTTAGGACCCTTTTTCACACTTACCTGTTGCAGCAACCCCCTGTCATGTGATCAAAATTCAGAGGCTTGGCATCTAACTCATATTTATGACGCTTGCAGTGTCCTGGGGCCATGTGATCAGCTTTTGCAACCTTCTAACAAGCAAAGCCAATGGGAAATCCGGATTCACTTAGCAACCATGTTACTAACTTAGCAACTGCAATGCTTCACTTAACAACTATGGCAAGAAAGGTTGTAAAATGGGGCAAAACTGATTTAACAAATATCTCACTTAGCAACATAAATTTTGGGCTCAGTTGTGGCTGTAAATTGAGGACTACCTGTATTTTGTCCACCTGTAAATTAAAAAGAAAGATTAATCCCACTCTGTTCATAGTGGACAGATTTTTCTGGTTTTTTCTGGACTGGTTTTATTTCTATTAGTTTATCCTATAATAAATTCACTGGGAACAATCTCTCAGGTTTAGTCTCAACCTGATAATAATGGAATTATTTTAATTCTTATTTCTTATGTTCCTTTCTTTATAAGATAATGTACATCTACTGTAAATGTTCATACATGTAATGATGATACATTTTATTTAGTTATAAAAATTGAATTCACATTTAATTATTGAAAATACATCTCAGCGTTTCCAGTTCCCAAATCAATAATAATAGATGCATTTGGAATTTCAGTTTCAGTGCATTACAGTGCGAACACCTGTAATGGGGATTACCTAGGAGGGGGGGGGAAGAGAATCAGAATACTATATTCTATTAATGCATGATTTGAAAAGCACTTGACAATGCTGTGATGTTTAATTAAGGGGTTATCTAATTTAGAGTGGATAGTTAACTGAGTGCTTAAGCAATTGTTTAAATAAGCTCAGTTTAAGAGATAACAGCATATCTTATGTAAAAAAAAAATCAGTTCATATACTGAACTTTGCTATTAAGCATTTATAGGGTTATCTCTTGAGTTGTAATCTTCTGGCTGATACCTGAAAATAGGACCTAATCTTTCAGACCTGAAAAGCTATTCATTAAAGTTTATTTAGATAAGTGCTGTTCATAGCTTTGTTTAGAATAACTCTAAATGGAGTAAATGATTGATAATATAGTATATACTTGGATCATATTCTATTTTTGCAATTATTGCAGATGAAAACTTAAAAAGTGCTGCTGTAATTCTTCTTTCATTTCTTCTTTAATTTCTGGTGATACTTCCTAATCATAAGTATGGGCAGTTAAATATTTCTTGTTGCATTTTAAACTGTGGAGATAGAAAGATGCAGTTGGAGTCTTCTTGTGAGGATCCTAGATATTATTGAACATTTTTGGTACTAGCTGAAGGTTATGTAAAGTTATTATGAAAAATTGCAACCCATTTCTTCTTTGCTCTTTCTATTCTAAAGGAGACATACCATAGTTGGTTAGCTATGAAAGAAACTCTATTTAAACTATGTCTGACTCATCAGTTTAATTCCATATTTTTCTTAAAATATGCACGGCTGTCCTTAGAAGAACATGTGACGGCCGTGGCCATGGGGGCCTTTTATCAGGTTCACTTGATTCGCCAGCTGCGGCCCTTTCTGGATCGGGATTCCTTGCGCACGGTCACTCATGCCCTAGTCACTTCCCGCCTGGACTACTGTAATGCTCTCTAGATGGGGCTCCCCTTGAAGAGCACCTGGAGGGTCCAACTGGTCCAGAATGTGGCCGCGTGGGTGATTGTGGGAGCGTCATGGCACTCCCATGTAAGACCTCTCCTGCGCGAGCTGCACTGGCTTCCGGTGGTCCTCTGGGTACGATTCAAGGTGTTGGTGACCACCTTTAGAGCGCTCCATGGCTTAGGACCTGGATACCTACGAGATCGCCTTCTGCCACCGAGAGCCTCCCACAGTACGCTCCCACAGAGAGGGGCTCCTCGGGATGCCGTCGGTCAAACAATGTCGACTGGCAGCCCCCAGGGGGAGAGCTTTCTCTGTGGGAGCACCTGCCGTCTGGAACGAGCTCCCCCTGGAGATACGGAGGATTCCGGATTTACGTACTTTCCGCCGGGCCCTCAAGACTTTTTTTATTTCAACAAGCCGGGATGGCCTAACTTCTCCAATTGCTTAATTTTAATTTGACTTTTAAAAGGGGTATTTTAATTGTTGGGCCAAAACTGTTTAATATGTTTTTTAAACTGTTCTTAAATTTTTGTATTCTATGTGTTTACCTTTGGCTGTTCACTGCCCTGAGTCCTTCGGGAGAAGGGCGGTATATAAATTTAAATAAATAAAATAAAATAAATAAAATTGAGAGTTAGAAAATACATTTCCTACCACACTTTGAACACTTGGTTTAAGACAGGGGTCCTCAAACATTTTGAACAGAGGGCCAATTCACAGTCCATCAGACTGTTGGGGGACGGACCGGCTGGGTGGGCGTGGCTAGGTGGTCATGTGACTGGGTGGGTGTGGCTAGGTGGTCATGTGATTGGGTGGCATGGCCAATTTAGCAGTCCATTTTGCCTTTGTCCTTGCTGTACTTGTTCAACCCAAGGAATTTACTTAAGACCGCCCCCCCAAAAGGGAAAAAGAGTGCAAAGTTTCTTGTGAAATAACTAGCCAGAAGTGCAGCTGGAGTGGATACTTGCTAGAAGATAAGGCCGATGGTGAGGGGTGGGGTGAGGGGTGGGGCTGAATCCCATCATTCCGTGGACCAGATACTTTGCTTTGGTGGGCTATATCCGGCTGGCAGGCCGGAGTTTGAGGATGTCTGGTTTAAGAGATTGGATCAGTCTTTTGATAAGGCCAATAGAGTGAAAAGTGGATGGGACCTTTATTTTCTTTTCCACTCTATTGGTTATCATACCCAGAACACTTACTTGTCAGTAAGCTAGATATCCTTAAAATAGCAATGCTAATGATAACAATAACATTAATAACAATAATGACAAATAAATTTAGTAGTATCACTTCCTGCCTAGTAGAACATTTAACAGCATTTTTTTTCTTAGATGTTGCTGCTGCAAATTGACAAAGCGGAGAAACAGCAGCATGGTTTACAGAAACAACAAAGGAAGGCTCCCAGGTATTATTTGTGGAAAACAGTATGCTTTATTTATTTATTTATTATTTTATTTTATTAGTCCAATTATATGCCGCCCTTCTCCGTAGACTCAGGGCGGCTTACAATGCATTATAGCAATAGCCTGCATACTTTATGTATATACCTGCTTATTAGGGCTTTCGGGCCCCCCAAGCGGTGTTATTCTATACAAAGCTGCTTATTGCCCCCACAATCCGGGTCCTCAATTTACCTACCTCAAAAGGATGGAAGGCTGAGTCGACCTTGAGCCTGGTGAGATTTGAACTCGCACTAATTGCAGGCAGCTGGCAGCTAAGTACTAGCACTTAACAGCACTTAGTCCATTGCACCACTGAGGCTCTTCATACTTTTCTCTGTCTCATGGGCATAATTCATCTATAAATCCTTCACACTTGACTAGTTTTGTTAAGATGGAGGCATGCCCAGTCCCAAGCATGATACTTCAACACAATGCTAAGTGTTATGTGGTTTCTGTATAATCCACTTAAACTGTTGTCAGTAGAGTTCATATTAAGCCAAACTACATCAATTCACCTGATGACATATGTTATTTATAGGTTGTGTCATTATATAGTTTAGTCCTAGGATAATGAGTTTCTTAAATTAATTTATATTGGATTTGATCATGTTAGCTGAGATGTATTGGGCAACTATTCTCTATATGGCAGCTCTAGCCAGCTTGTCCATATTGATTGTAGATATTGTAGAGGAAGAGCTGGATCAGCTTATGATAGCCAAAATCAGAATGTGCCTTACAGCATCTTTTCAGACTAATACGTTTTATTAAAAGGCATAAGGTTCTGTGAACTACAACTCATTCTATCAGCTGAACGGATAGCAAAACTGATGTAAGATTTAAACTGAGATAAACTAGAGAGAGAAAAAAGGGGAGGGGGAATCAGTGCTATGCAGATGTAAATTACACATGAAACAAATTGTAAGTACATTATTAATTAACAAATGTAACATGTTCAAATCAAATCAATTTTTCCTTATGGTCATAGACCATCATATTATGCAAAGTTTTAAAAACCCACTGTGTTTGCTGAGACTTCTGCAATGTTGAAAGCTTTTGATATATGTGAATTCAGCAGCCTCTCATTTAATTTTGCTGGTAAAATTTCTTTGTTCCAAATAGCTACTTTGAGATTTGTACTTTGAGTGGTGTCGTGGGACGTTAAAATACTCTGATATGAATTTGACCTTGTTTTGAGTCCTGATGTCAAACTTGTCCATTAATTATTTTGTGCAAAGCTTGATCTGTTTGTCCTACAGAAAATTCAGAGGGCACTGCTGACAAATGATGTCATACATCACATGAGGGAAGAGAATGGGAAAGTGCTTCTAAACTTAGTATGAAATTGTTGAGGTCTATGATGTTGCTGTTGGTGTAAACATGATGCAAAATAGATATCTGGCTTTGTTTCAGAGTTTCATGTTAGTATTATTGTTGCATTGTTTTTCTATTGTGGTTTGTGAAAATCTACTCCAGGTTGGGTGGCTTAACATAGGAAACTGAGGGCCTGCTAGCTTGAGCTTAAGAAAGTGCAGTGTCATTATCCAGGATGGGTTATAGCTTACAGGTAGTCCTCATCATATGGCCTTAATTGGGACCATAGGTGGTTGTTAAGTGAGATGTCCACTTTTACAAATATTTTTGCTAAGTGAATCATTGCAGTTGTTAAGTGAATCATTGCTACCAAATTTGACTTCCCACATTGACTTGGCTTGTCAAAAGCTGGCTGGGAAGGTCACTAATGATGATCACATGACTGTGGGAACCTGCAACCATTGTAAATCTATGCTGTTGCCAAGCATCTGAATTTTGATCATGTGACTATGGGGTTGCTGTGACAGTCATAATTGTGAGGACTGGTTGTAAATCAGGTTTTTCAGTTCCATTGTAACTTCGAATGGTCGCTAAATGAATGGTGGTAAGTCAATGACTACCTGTAGTAATAATATTTTGAATGGATTGTGAGCTGTAGGTGACAACCAGGGGTTACTAAGGCATGAGTGATCGTGAGCAGTGCCTTCTGATGTAGGAAAAGCTGCAACTGGCTGACACCTGCTCTTTAAACTGGACCATGAGCATGAGAGCCCCCAGATTGTGCACCAGCTGGGGCAGTATAACATCAGCCAAAGTTAAAAATGGAAAATCATTAGGTGCAGGGTGTCCTAAACCCTACAGACACTTAGTCTTGTCAGATTGAAGTGATTCTCCTCCATCCATACCAGTACATCCCCTAGGTCAGTGATGGCTAACCGTTGCCATCGCGTGCCAGGAGAGGGGGGGCGGGGGAGGGTCATGCGTGCACATGCCCACCCACCTGTGCACGCAAACCCCCCCCACTCCTGGCACATGATGGCCTGCCCGTTTTTCTTTCTTACCTGGTTCCAGATCCTCTCTATTTATCTGGGAGGGGCAAAAACAGCCTTTCTCACTCCCTCAGAGGCCTTCCAAAGGCCTGAAACGGCCAATTTCCCAACTCCCAGTGGAACAGGAAGTGACATTTTTTGCTGTCCCCAGCCTCCAGAGCCTCTCTAGGAGTCTCTAGGAGCCTCTCTAGGAGTCTCTGGAGGCTGGGGACAGGAAAAAAACATTACTTCCTGTTCCACTGGAAGTTGGGAAATGGGGCCTTTCAGGCCTCTGAGGGAGTGGGGAAGGCTGTTTTTGCCCTTCCCAGATAAATAGAGAAGATCTGGAGCCAGGTAAGAAAGAAAAACGGGTCTTCCCCACCCATCCCAGGCCTTCCAGAGGCAGGAAACAGCCTGTTTCCCTACTTCTGGTGAGCCCAGAAGGCCTGAAAATCAGCTGGCCGGCGCACGCATGTGCCCCAGAGCTGAGCTGGCGTGCCCACTAATATGGCTCTGCATGCCACCTGTGGCACGTGTGCCATAGGTTCGCCATCACCGCCCTAGGTACTGAAAAAGCATCTTTACAACATCACTAGGATGGCCCAGGGCAAAAAAGTACCATATTGCTGGTACTTGACCTCATGCTGTCAGAAGATCTCATGCAATGGTTTTATGTGTATGTTAAGTAGGAGTGGGGCCTATTGAGGTATCACAGAGCTGAGCCCTGTGATACCTCACCAACACTGATTGGAACGGCTTTGTAGGAAAGAGAAGAACTACTGAAGAACCATGACTCCCACTCCCAACTTCCCCAGCTGGTCTGAAGAATACCAAGTTCAATAGCACCACAAGGTGCTGAAAGGTCAAGGAAGGCCAGAATGACTGCAGTATCCCCATTCTGAGCTCTGGCACAGTCATTTACAAGTATGATCAATGGCGTATTGCTATGTATGACTTGACCTGAAACTTGTTTTAACTGGTCCAGATAACTGACCTTCCCCAGACCCCTTTGAAGCTGCAGGCCTACCATATTCTCAACAACCTTCTTTAAAAAGGAAACATTGGATGAGACTTACTTGTTTAAAGTGTCTGAATAGAATCAGTTTGCCAATTGTGAAATATTCACTTTCAGCACTTGTATTTTAATTCCCCTGAAATGAAGAAGGCTAGGATTGAGGACAGGGGGCCATAATCATAAAACAATATTAGAATCCAAGTCCCCATATTTTAAAAATATGCAATGTAACCTTTTATTGCATCTCTATTCTCAGCTAAGGGATACTGGAAGAGGGGACAAGAAGAGACAGATACCATATGCACGAACTTTATGAAAATCTGGCAGTCCGTGTGATCTTATAAGAGGCTGGACTGTCTAGGAACAGCAAGAAAGATATATAGCATATGTTTCATAGACTCTCCCATCCCTTCACTAGCTATTTCAGTCTTACTGTTCTGAATATTGCATTATATTTAGCACAAATGTATATGCATTTTTTGCTATCCAACTGCAGTTCATAAATAAATCACCTATTATCTGTTTGAGATCTCTAACAGTTTGCTGCTAATCCTCAATGGATTAATATGCTTTCAGTGATAATCCTTTCATCTGCTGAAGTTCAAAGATACTTAATCACTAAAGTTAGTGCTTCCTAGAATTTCCAGTAAAATGGTACCGTCTTCCATCTTTAATAGAACAATATAAATATTCTATGCCATTTGTCTGGCTCTTAATAGCTGTACATCTCAGCAAATGACAACTTGTTCCATGTGTAGTCATAACATTCATATCAAGAAGGTTTTTCTTTCACATTTTTTTAGAATAATGGGCAGCATATTTATAGCTAGCCATTAACTAGTGTATCTACTATTAAAGTTATGAGCAGCAGGGAAGTGAGACACATAAAAGAGAATATTTGTAGCTCAGGGTTGAACTGTGGGGTCTTTGATGCTCTCTGAACTTGGCTGTTTTCTTGCAGAACTTTCATTACTAAAATAGGCAACATCATTAGTTCTAGCAGGGAGTAGAGTTCTTATGCATCCAAATTCATGTTCTTCCCCTGTTGTCCATCATCTTGAAGCCACTTGTGAGAAAAGAAAAGAGGCAGGAAAAGACATAGTTTAAAAAACTGTGAATATACCATCAAAAATAGGGTCTTATGGTATCAATGAACATAACAAATTCTGCTTCAAGGTCACTATGCATTATGCAGTTGGCACTTGGCTCTGTGGATTAGTATTTCAGCCAAAGGCAAATTGCCATTACACAAGAACTACTTTCAGGCAGAATAAGAAATGTGGACATGTTAGAGGAAATAGAATACTTGCTTTGAGATAATTTAACTTGGTAGGGGATTGGGTTCAGAAGAAGCATACATCTGATTTTGAACTTGGCAACTCCTTCAATTGGTTTAGACACATATTTTCAACTCAGAACCAATTTGGCTTTTAAAACAGCCAAAATAAATTTCTCTTAATCACTTCTAACCTGTTAGCAGATGGGTAAACAGCTTTTTTATAACTGGGGCAAACAAAATACTTTAGTATCAGCCAGAAATAATTAGTGGCAATAGATAAATCAAAATGTATAATTCAAGATAGATAGATAGATAGATAGATAGATAGATAGATAGATAGATAGATAGATAGATAGATAGGCAGGCAGGCAGGCAGGCAGGCAGGCAGGCAGGCAGGCAGGCAGGCAGGCAGGCAGACAACAGACAGACAGACAGACAGACATATACTGTGTTTATATATGTACATATTACAGTGATTACCCTCTAGTTCAGGGGTGTCAAACTGGCGGTCCATGGGCCAGATGTATCATGCACAGGCCACACCCAACCCAGCTCCGCGAAGGGGAAAAACATTGCAAAATGTCATGTGATGGCAACATGACACTGCGAGTTTGACACCCGGGCTCTAGTTAATGAGTTGTAAGATTTGGAAAAAAGATTTGCTTTGCCAGTGGAATAAGAAATATAGCAGTAAAATACAATAACTATTGTATAAGATGACTATATTAGCACAACTGTATCGTTGGCAAATATGTATCCATAGAAAAGCTTATTTGTTGAGTGTGGGTGGAATGTAGACAGCACACAGAGCACAGTTAGATTGTACCTATCAATTTAAAGATTCCTGCAGTAGGAATCTTGACTTCTAGTTATTCAAACGAGGAATGGCTATATATAGATATCGGAAAGGTTTTACATTTGAAACATTTTGGTGTGAAATAGATTGTTCCAAGATTACTTAGAATTTCAAAGCTTGAAACTGATTTGTGATAAGGTCAGAAAACCTTTATATTTTGTTTGACCAATTTAAATAACCAATGTATATACTTAGATACAGAATAAACAGTTATAAGCAATGAAAAACATGTAATGAAACAAAGTGATGATGATTATGTTGTCCATTTAGTTGCCTCCGATTCCTGGCGATTTTATGGGCCAGGTATCTCCAGAATCTCTGATCTTCTTTGAGTTTTTCTATGTTGTGGCTTGGGTCAGCTTTGATGGTATTCAGCCATCATGTTCTTTAATTGCCTGGTTTCCTTTTATCATTAACTCTTCCAAACATAATTGCTTTCTCCAGTGAATTTCCCTGCATGACATGCAAGAGATGCAGTTTCTTGATTTTGCCTTCTAGTGATGTCTGGTGTTATACATTGTAGCACTTGCTTGTTAGTCACCTTTAATGTCCAAGGAGTATGTAGGAGCCTTCTCCATCACAGCTCACATCTCAAATGAGTTGATTTTCTTCCTGCATTGTTTTTTTAAAGTCCAGCTTTCACAACTATAGGTGGCTATGGGGAACACAATAAAGTAGAATAATCTACATTTGATTGCCAGGCTGATGTCTGTGCTTTTTCATATTTGGCTCATGTCATCATTGGTGAACTAACCAGGGCAATCTGTTGTTTTATTTCTGTGCTGCATTCATAGCTTTGAACTATCTGCAATCCTAGGAAAGCGAATTTTTCTTCACTGTCAATTTTGATGTTTGCATTCCTTGCAGTGGTCATGAGCTTGGTTTTTTTGATGTTCAGAAAGAGATCGAAATTATAACTTTCTTTTTTGATTTTCTTGATCAGATGTTCCAGGCCTTCTTTGGTTTCTGAGAGAAAAGTTGTATCATTAGCCTATCGAAGATTGTTGACGTTTCTTCCATCAATCTTGACCCCAATTTTGATTCTTCAAGATTTAGTTCTTCATGATCATTTTGGCATATAGGTTGAATAAGAAAGGGGAGAGAATGCAACCGTGTCAAACTCCTTTCTGTATCTTAAATTGAAACAAAGTAGAAAAACATGATTGAGAACAACAGCGTACAAACACACACCAGGGAAATGTTACTGCGTGTGCTGCCAGTATCTCTCTTCTATAACACTATTTAAATATGTGACTATGTATATTAACAAGCATTCACTAAAAAGTGAATGACTACATACAGCATAAAAATTATTGAGGAATTATTCATGAACTCATATAAGTCACATTAGTTGGTAAATATTTGGGATGATAATAACAGAAGCATATTTCAGCCACTTTAACTAGATTGCTTGGAAGGAAATTAGTATAAATTGTATTTCTATTTTTAATTATGATTTTGAGTTGATACAGTTATTTAAAATATTTATATTCTCACTGCAATGCAAAACATCTTCATATGGTGTACAGCATTAAAATGTAAATGCAATAGGATTTATAATAATACAATAAAACATCGAAATATGATCTCATTAGAATATAGAATCAGGGCAAATTTTAGCAGTCTGGTGGGATAAATATTGAAAGTTTGAATAAGACTCCCAAACAATGGAACCTCCAAGATTTTCAGTATAACCTACCCCCTGAAACCCAGAAATTATGTCCTTAAATCAATTGTTTCTGTTTCATTTCAACAAAGCATTTGGAATTATAAGAGAAGACAGATGGTAAATGAAAGCATTACTGGTTAGCTTGATTATAATTAAAAATAATAAAATAATAATGGTGATGAAGTTAATAATAGTCATATAAATAGGTCTAGTGATGATGATAATGTTGCAGAAAACAGTTGTAATATGTTTTTGGTCCAAGTTCTTTTGAACTTGTCCCTGCCATTATGGCTTCCAAAATGATATTGAATGGAACTTTCAGACCTAGAAAATGTGTGTGTGTGTGTGTGTGTGTGTGTGTGTGTGTGTGTGTGTGTGTGTGTGTGTATGTATGTATAGGTCTTTGGTTATTCGGGTCTTCTCCCACGTAAAATTGGAAGTGTCTTGGTGACGTTTCAACGAAGTCTCATTCGTCATCTTCAGGCTGGTGTTCTCAGCTTCGTGCTTCCAGGAGCAATATATATATATATATATGTATATATTGCTTAGCTAGATAAGCTTTTTTCATGTAGGAAAAAAAACCTTTAATTTTTTTGTAGCACAAGGTGTAATTTTAAGAAGCCGAATAACCAAAGACCTACATACAAACACCCGCAAAAACATGAGATATATATATATATATATATATATATATATATATATATATATATATATATATACTTTTCCTTTCTTTCAATAATCTCTTTTTCTATCTGTTCCAAAGAATAAGTTAAACTAATAAATCAATTGGTTATATTTCTGTTGCTATTTGCCTTAGCCAGATGCATTTTATTCAGAAACAGACTTCAATATTCCTTACAAATATATCTTTCTTTTGCACAATATTCCTTAATCTATCTGAACTCTCACATTGCTGTTTTTCTCAGTAAATTTATGACACTTCATATATCCACCCAAAAAAATTGAGGCTCTTTTTAAAAAATGTGAGTTTAAACACATGAGTTTTAACGTGTGAAGCTCTCTTTTACAGTTTCTATGCCGTATGGCAGGTGTTCTTCTGAAGCATTAACATACTTATAATTTTTATTTCAGTGTGCTGAAACCCAAAATCAATTGGAACCATTTGTGTTTTCTATTGCTAGTATTAGAGAGAAAATTGGGAGAATAAAACTGCATTGTTTTGAGTGCCTCTTTGGATTTCAGCCACAGGTTGAATAACAATATTGCTTTATATTCTCCAACTTCCAACCATTTCCATGCTCTTGTATTGAAATGTATAATTATCCATTGTTTCCATGTTTATTGCAACTGATTCTAAGCACTGCATTTCGTTTAAAGCAAAGCCTTCCTAACTTCCTCCCTCCCTTCCCCTCTCCTCCCCTTCCCTAGAAGACGAAAACACGTTAATATAATTAATGAGAAAGTGAAAAGGATTGGGCCACATTTAGACATATTTGAAGCTTTTAAGAAACTCCGAAAAGTTCCTACAGTGGAAAAAATTGCTTCAGCTGCCACCTGTATTCAAAAACTTTTCAAAGGATGGTATGAACGTAGTAAACTGAAGAGAATAAAACTGAAGGTAATGTATTTGAATTTCATTAATATGAGATATTGTGATGTATTATAATGGATTATATCTCTGACATGTTTGCATTACTGTAGCTAGTACCTTGTCCAGCTTGAACAGTAATGATTTATATAAAATAACAGTAGACTCAAAATTTGAAAGGTGCAGAGTTGATTTATACAAGAAATAATCCTTATACGCATCTGACTGCCCAATGATTTTTAGAGCCCTTACTAGGGAATACTGGGCTATTTGGACAAATAGTCTGATCTATTAAAAGGGCAGTTTTCTATTTAGCACAAAAATATATTGTCCACAGTCTCAAACTCAATATGGACTTCATTTTACCTATTATCAAGTTGTTATACACAACAATCTATATCTTGTTCCAACGATTCTATGATTTTCCTGGCTTCTTTTTGTCTTCTGGCTAATTTTGCATTGTAGCCATATCTTTGTGTGTGTGTGTGTGTGTGTGTGTGTGTGTGTGTGTGAGAGAGAGAGAGAGAGAGAGAGAGAGAGAGAGAGAGAAACCAGTATTTTCTGTCCCAAAGATGCTTTTTTTCTCCAAAAGACAACCGGGCTTTGTTTTTCCTTGAAGGCATTTTGCTTCTCATCCAAGAGCTTCTTCAGTTCTGCTTCAATGGTAGAGAATAGAAGGATTTATATTCCTTGCAGCCATCTGGCCTTTAGTCATTATTCTGAGTTGTTGAGGCCACTTGAAGCAGTGGTGGTATTCAGCTGGTTCTATCCGGTTTGGGTGAACCGGTAGTGGTGGCTGTGGGAAGCTCTGCCCACCCGCCCAGACGTCATCATGTCCCATTTTTGATGCTCTGTGCATGCGCTGTCAGGGTGACAATTAATCCCATTCCGCTTTGGGTAATTGCACCTAATTAGAGACGGACCGTGGCTTTTCCTTGGAGTATACTTTTAAAGAAAAATAAAACTCGAGATGCATTCTAATAAACCACATTTTATTATAAAGAAGTAAAAACAATCTTACTAGCTATTAATTACATCTTGGCAACGTTCCTGCCTTACCTCTTGGCAGGTGAACAAAGAAAGTTAGAAGAAAGTGAAAGAATGTGGACATGAGCAGTAGCTTCAGAGATAAGACTCAGACAGTCTACCGTATGTCTCAGAATGGGAGCCCAGCTGACAAATACAAGAATGCAGTGACAATCCCCTTCTTTGTCAGTTGAGCGGACATCAAGTACATCATCAAATAAGGCACATCTTCTTACGCAGATACTCGTGTTGAGCTGCTGAAAGCGGTTTGTTGAGCATATCAGCAATTTGATCATGTGTAGAGACATACTGCAATTTAACAAAACCTTGTTTCACTAATTGTTTTATGTTTTGATAACGGATGTCAATGTGTCTGGACCTAGAACCTGTGAAATGTGATTCAGAAATATAAACCACCGATTCATTGTCTTCCATCACGGTGATTGGTCGGATCGGGTGTGTCCAGATATCTGTAACCAAACATCAAACATTAGAGAATTACATGCATCTGAAACAGAAGCATATTCAGCTTCAGTAGATGAACAAGAAACAAAATTCTGTTTACGCACTTGCCAGTGAACAGGATATCCATTTAAGAACATCATATAACCTGAAGTACTTTTACGTGATTTCTTATCACTCGCCCAATCAGAATCTGCATAACAACATAATTCTGCATAATCAGTATGTGTTGGTTCTAACAATAACTTCATATGTTTAGTGTGTTTTAGGTATTTCAATACTTTCTTAACGCATGTCCAATGAAACTGTTTTGCCTTACCAACATGTCGAGACAAGAGATTAACACTAAGTGCAATGTCGGGTCTGGTCCAACTACTAATGTACAACAGTGACCCAATTACTGAACGATAAAGTGTTTGATCCTCGAACTCAGGACTTGGTTCATGTGTCAAGTTGTGAAAATCTGTTTGCATGGGTGTCTTTGTTGTGTTAGCATCCTTCATGTTGCAATGATGTAAAATTTGTTCAATTTTATCTTCTTGTGAAAGACTAAACCCCTTCTGTGTTTTGTCAATCTGAACACCTAAATAAGTGCTAACATGACCTAAAGTTTTCAATGTGAAGTATCTCTGCAAAGCTTTGGCAAAAATTTCACTCATCTGCTTATTTGGACCAATATAAACAATATCATCAACATAAACAAGAACTATCTCATATGTATTGTTAGATCTTTTTGTGAACACGCACTCATCAGTTTCAGACTTAATAAAGCCCATTGAATTTAGTTTGTCAGTAAGACATAAGTACTACATTAAACCAGACTGTTTCAGACCATAAAGACTTTTTTTGTAGAAACCAGGTATCCCCTTCTTGCTGTCGGAACCCTGGAGGACCTCTCACATAGATCTCTTCATCTAGGTCAGCATGTAGATAAGCCATGTCAACATCGAACTGGAAAGCTTCTAAACCAAGAATAGTAGCTGTGGCTAAAGCAATTTTTACACTCTCAGTCTGGACTGTCGGTGAATAGGTATTTGTGTAGTCCTCAGGATAACGTTGAGCGAAACCCTGAGCTACAAGTCTGGCCTTGTACAATGACTCACCATTTGGCTTTTTTTTGATTCTGTAGACCCATCGAGTGCCAATGACCCTTTTGTTTGCTGGAGGTTTTGCAGGTGTAAACACCTTAAGTTTCTTTAAACTGTCCATTTCAGCCTGCATTGCCTCATACCATTTCTCTTGTTCTGAATCAGGAAGCTGCTTGATTTGTGTGAAATTATCAGGTGGAAGTGTAACATTGCAAATCAAAGGCAAGGGTGTTTTCGTCAGTTGCCATGAATATCGCTGTGGAGGGATCCCCTTTGTGGCCCTCTCGGAATGTCTTGTAACAACAGTCCATTCTTCTTCTGCTTCGTCCTCGTCCTCACATTTGTTGCTAGCGTCAGCATCCGTGGCTTGCGAAGACGGAACATCAGGTTGAGAAGAACTAGTGGATGGAACATCTGCCTATGGATCTTGGTCATCAGACTGCGAGGCATCAGCAACATCATCTCTAGGAAAATAAACTCCAGGATCATTGGAATGAATCCTGGACCAGTCAACATCTTCCTCAAAATTAGCAGATTGGGAAATCACAATTACATGTCTGGAATCAATAAATTTGCTCCATTTTGAGTTATCATCAATGGCCATAAATCTCAGTCTCTTTGCTGCTGGACCCCCTTTTCTTCTTTGAGCTAAGGGGATGTTCACCATAGCATATGAACCAAAAATATGGAGGTTTTTGAGATCGGGCTTGTAGCCATACAACATGAAGAAAGGAATCTGATTTATTACACTGTTCCAAGTACGGTTGACAATGTAATTTGCATATTTGATAGCTTCACCCCAGTATGGCATACTAAGGTTGGCGTCTTCTAGGAGACAACACATCATGGTTTGCAGTACCCCTTGTCGTCTTTCTACGATTCCATTATGAGCCGGTGTGTAAGGAGCCAAGGTGTGATGAAGAATTCCATTTTTACGCATCCAGTCCTGGAAACGCTGAGACATGAATTCAGCACCATGATCACTCTGGATTCTGATGATGCGAACTTGGTGTTGGGTAGAAACAAGAGCAGCAAAATCTTTAAAGATCTGAAAAGTCTCAGATTTTTCTTTCATAGGATATACATATCCATATCTAGAATAATTATCAACAATTGTTAAAAAATATTTTCTACCAAGTGTTGGCTTAAAAGGACCAACTATGTCAGTGTGTACCAAATCAAAAATGCGTGTTGACAGGCGTGTAGCACGTTTGGGATTGGCTGCTGCTTTGGATTTGGCTTTCTTGCAAACAGCACAATCCAAAAACACCTTACACCCCTTTAGATCCAAACCTTTTGCGAACTCCGGCATCTTCCTAAGAACATGGAAACTGGCATGCCCCAATCTTCTATGCCACTTATGGATACACCTGGAATGCAAAGGTTTACCAGTTAGTGAATTCTCAATGTTAGCATTTTTATGAGGAACCTCAGGCTTGCTCCGAGCAACCTGTTTCCTAATTTTCTTTTTGTTGGCTTTAGGAGCCTTTGGAGTAGCAACACGATCTCTCTCTGGGCCCGTGCTCTCCTCTTTTGGTATACTTGCCTATGTTTGCGGTTTAGACTTTGGCTTTAAGTAATAAACACCACCAATTAACATGGTTTCAGCAACAATATCTCCATTTTTAACTATGTAACTTGCTTTTTCAAGGTGGTGAACCTGGAACTTTAACACTCTAGACAAGTGACTCTGACTAAGCAAATTACTATTTGCTGTTGGTATATAATAAACATCAGGAATGAATGCATCGAGCTCTTTAACATAAACAGTTCCTTTTCCTTTGACCTGACAAGGATGATCGGAAAAAGAATAAAGTTCATGTAGTTCAGGGTCAGGCTCGTGCATCTCTGTGAAAAGTTCCTTTCTGTAGGTAACATGCAACGCTGCACCACTGTCCAAAGTCCACAGGAGTCGTTTGTCGTACTCTGGTTGAGGTTGTGGATCGTTGGTTAACGCCAATGTGGCGAGTGGAGCTTGTGGATCACGCCTGGGACCATGATGACCTTATCTTCTGCCTCTGCCTCTGCCTCTGCCTCCTCTGGAATCTGTTCCTCTGGGCTGGTACGAGACGGGAGCTGGAACTCGTTGGGAACAATCTCGGATGGTGTGTCCCATATGATTACAGATGTAGCATCTTGGCATCCTTGGAATGTAGGTTCTTCCTCAGAAGGGACGCCTCACTGGAGTTCTTGATGCGGGTGGTCCTCTCAAATGTGGGGTAGCTAACATAAGTGCTTCTTCTTCAATTAAAAGTCTGCATATATGATCCACTGTGCATTGAGCAATAGGCACTTGATCAATCTTTGTAATGGCATCTTTCCATTCATAATTCAATGAGTTAATAATGATGATCATTTGAATATCATCAATAAGATAGCCTCTTTCTCTCAATTCTTTTCTGATTCCTTTCAGTTTGGTTAAAGATCCTCCAATTTGTTCACCAGGTTTCAATCTTGAACCATGGAACTCAGACATGAGCAAACATGAAGATTCAATTGAAACAGGCCTGTAGCAATTTTCCAATTGGACCCAAATTTGTTGGGCTGTTGCATCAGGCGGAAAGGTGACCTGCAGTTCAGTATCCGTGGACATCAATAATGTTGTGCAAGCTTTAGTCTGTAAGTCTCTTATTGCAGGAGTCCATGGCTGGGCAGGAGGATTAAAAACCATACAGTGATTACCTTCTCTGCGAAGTAACAATCCAATCTCACTGACCCAGGCCTTATAATTTTGTCCTGACATCTTTAATTTCAACTCACCAGCTAGTGGAGCAACAGAAAAGGCCTGTTGAGGAACATGCATTTGGTATGCTGGTTGTGCCGTTAAAAATACCTTTGGTATTTGCTGCTGCATTGGAATCTGCTGCTGTATTTGAATGTGAGGGTGTTGTGCATGCACCTGTGGTTGTTGTGCTCCAGCTGCCACTTGTGCTTGAGTTGCAATATTAACATGGCCTGCTGAAGATGCAGTCATTTGCCTTTGCTGAATTAAGTGTTGTTGTGCTCCATCTAAAAGGACACCAGCACCACCAGGGGGTGCTGAAGATTGGGCCTGTGGAGACACTTGTGGAATTGCAGTCTGAATATCTGAGTGGATTCGGGACATGTTTGATAAAGTCCGATGCAATACTTGTAATTGTTCTTGCAAACTGCAATGCATTTCAGCTTTCTCTAATAAATTACTTTTGCCAGCAGATGGTGCTGCACCTTTAGTTTTGGGCAGCTCAGATAACTTTTCTGCCTTCGTGGCATGATGTGTAATTTGAGGAGAGAGAACGTCATGTGACAATTGTGATGTGTACACAGCTCTCTGTTCTGATTTGCCTGACACAAGACCCTCTTGGGGGTGTGGCTTTGGCTTCGAAGAAGAAGCCAAGATGGCATTTTCAGGAATTTTAAAAACATGAGATTCTCTCTTATCTGGCTCGAGCGTAGATAAAACCATTTTTGCCTCTGATATGAATTTGACCTTGTTTTGAGTCCTGATGTCAAACTTGTCCATTAATTATTTTGTGCAAAGCCTGATCTGTTTGTCCTATAGAAAATTCAGATGGCACTGCTGACAAATGATGTCATACATCACATGAGGGAAGAGCATGGGAAAGTGCTTCTAAATTTAGTGTGAAATTGTTGAGGTCTGTGATGTTGCTGTTGGTGTAAACGTGATGCAAAATAGATATCTGGCTTTGTTTCAGAGTTCCATGTTAGTATTATGGTTGTATTGTTTTTCTATTGTGGTTTGTGAAAATCTACTCCAGATTGGGTGGCTGAACATAGGAAACTGTCCCATTTTTGATGCTCTGTGAATGCATGAAAGGCTCTGTGCAAGCGCAGAGGTAGTGCGTGCAAGTGAAGCGCGCATGTGTGTTCACATTTGCAAACCGGTAGCGAAGGTAAGTGAATACCACCCCTGACTTGAAGGTTCATCTATGCCATTAGGGTCATCTGAATAGTGTGGAACCTTCTTGGAACTGCTGAAAGGATTGTGTTGTAAACAGGAGATAGATCCCCTAAAATTGAATAGAGTGGGCTATTCAATTTTAACATACATGCTCTCTTTGACTCCTCTTTCAAACCAGTGGTCCTCTCTGTCCAGAATGTGGACTTTTCTGTCTTCAAAAGAGTGGCCTTGGTCTTTCAAATGCAGATGGATTGCTGAATCTTGTCCTGATGACTTTGTTCTCCTATATTGTGCCATGCATTTGTGAAGTGATTGTTTTGTTTCTCCAATGAACATAGTTACACATGTCTCACTGCATTGTACTGCAGATATCACATATCTTGTTTGGGTCTGGGTGTTTTATCCTTGGGGTGGACAAGTGTCTGCCTTAGTATATTCTAGGGTTTAAAGGGTGCATGTATCTTGTGTTCGTGTAAAATCCTCTAGAACTATTCTGCAATCTACGGAATGACAACATTGCTTTGTTTATTGTTCTCTCCTTTGTCTTTTATGGAGGAGGTCCTGCTGGGACTTTTTTTGTTTGGATTTGATGAAGGGCCAGTTAGGATAACCACAAGTTCTGAAGGCTTCCTTGATTTGTTTTAGTACTTTTTTTCTTCCATCTTTGTTGGTAGGCAGATCTTTAGCCTGGTGGTGTAGGGTTCTGATCACTTCAAGGAAAAACAAAGTTCAGATGCCTTTTGTAAAAAAAGAAAAAAAAAAAAAGCATCTGGATGTTACCTGGATGACTGAGAATCTCATAGATATCTAGTATTTTCTGCTACCAGATTTTTAACATTTCCATATATAGAACTTTGGCAGACTTTGATCTTTCCATAAAATCCTTTAGTCTCTAGTGTCAAAATGCAATATTACAAGGGATTTTTATTTTGTTTTTATGGCAATCGCTGGAAGGTTTTCTTACTTTATGCATCTATAATTCTTTACCCTATAAATGTTGTTTCTTCCAATACCACTTTACATGTATGTATGTATGTACAGTATGTATGTATATATACAAGCATATACATATATTTGTAATTACAGGCTAAGAACCATGGACCAAATATATTAGCTGTTATAAAGGATTATCGTAGAATGATGAGTCGAATTAAACGCCGTTGTGGCATCTTGGATACAAGTACAGCACTAATATTTGAACAACTGGAAGACTGGCTTGACAATAAAATGCGTATGTATTTTTCAGAATAATCTGTTGAGATTATTCTTACCATATCTCTGTTAACTATTTCAAAAACTATTCAATATCTTCAATTGAGGTTGCTTGTATTATCTCAATGGTGGTGTCTTTTTTTACGAGAATTAGTACCGTGTTTCTCTGAAAATAAGACCCTGTCTTATATTTTTTTGAAACCTGAAATAAGTGCTTGGTCTTATTGCCTTGCGCTCAAAAGCCCGATTGGGCTTATTATCAGGGGATGTCTTATTTTGGGGGAAACAGAGTAATATAAATTCGGTCTTTTGGGAGAGACACCATAGTTTAGTGATAGAGAACACATTTTCCCTACAGGAACCCCAAATGTAATCTATATCATTTTCACTTAAATGTATCATGTGACTAACTGTTAGATTACTATTACTCTTTTTCTGAGCACTGAGTTGCAAAACTGTGTGTTCTGGCAGAGTACTTTATGTTGCTAGCAACTTTCTGTATTTCGGTGCAGATCTCTAGTCTGAAATACCAAAAAGTTAAGACATTCAGACATCCCCAGCAAAAAGCAAGCAAGCAAGAAAACAAACCAACCAACTAGAAGGAAGCATGGTAAAATTCTTTACCTTTTCTCCTTCTTGTACGTCCTTGTATGAGAAACTTTAGTTGGACTCCAAAAACAACCTGGGGAAAGTACTGACAAGAGCTAAAATGGCAAATTGCAAACAAGAAATGGCAAAAAACCATTTAGCATCCATTTCTGTCTCAATGTTTTCATTCAGAATTGATGCACTATTTGGCAACATTTTGAGACATTAGCATATCATACTCGACTCACTGCAATGATAACTGAGCATAGTTTAAACGTTATGCCTCTGACATGGAAGCTAATGCCAAACAACCTTTTTAAAGTGTTGTGCTCATGTAATTGAAGAACTGATAGTGGATATATCTTGTAAAATAATCAAGATCTCTCACAACAGAAAAAGAGCTCTTACAAGATACGTTTAGCAGAGCTGTACACATTTTGAAACAGTGAGGAATAAGCATGATGTCAGCGTAACACGCTTCTGCTATTCATTTATAAACCACATCTTTTTTGAGGTGTCAGTGGTTCTACTCTTTAAAGAAGGATGTATTTTCAGGCTCACATGGAAATGTGAAAAAGCACTGGACTATTTAATGAGTAGTACAGACGTACTTCTCCAGACGTGCTGGAGAAGACTCCTGCGAGTCCCTTGGACTGCAAGGTGATCAAACCAGTCAGTCCGAGAGGAGATCAACCCTGACTGCTCTTTAGAAGGTCAGATCCTGAAGATGAAACTGAAATACTTTGGCCACCTAATGAGAAGGAAGGACTCACTGGAGAAAAGCTTAATGCTGGGAAAGATTGAGGACAGAGAATGAGGTGGCTAGATGGAGTCACTGAAGCAGTCAGCATGAAACTCCAGGGGATGGTAGATGACAGGAAGGCCTGCAGGAACGTTGTTCATGGCATTGTGATAAATCGGACACAACTTCGCAACTAACAATAACAACAGACGTACTCTGTTCAGATCAAGTCCAAAGAATATCTTTGGAACTTTTGTTAACAATGCCAAGTCCTAAGGTTTAAGTACCAAATGTAGACTGTAATTTGGATCAAATGGTAAAGGAACTATTTATTATGTCTTTAGAAGTTAAAATATAATACATTTAAATGTTAATTAGATATTATGAAATAGTTTTAGTGACATAATCAATAATCTTTCATAGTGATCATGCCAGCACTGTTCTTGATTATATTATCCACAATATATAACAATTCTATAATACAGTGATGCAAAAATAGATGATAATATTTATCAGTTTGATACCAACATATGAATGCTAATAAAAAGCTGGAAGCTATGCTGTTAAAATTCGTGGAAGGATTCCTTTTAAAAAAGATGGTTGTAATTTATGGAAATGGGCACAGTACAGATTACGAAAAGACTTATTATGTATGTGGCTGTCTTACGTTTTTGTCCTATGTATAGCAAATATTTTATCTGTTTTGCAAATAGGTTTGAAAATATCAATTGCCCTTCAGATTTCCTGATTGAGGAAATACAAAATTTTGCAATACAAAATTTCAGATTGAGAATTCCTATTACAACTGTAAATTTGTAGTAGGAAAACCTATCAAGAAGAACAATTTTCATATGTGTGGTATTCCTGAAGTTGGCTTAATATCTCTCTCATTAAGGATTTTTATTTGGAAGAAACCATGATTGAATCTCAAATTTTTGAGACTGCTTTTACAGAATCAAGACTTCCAATAGGATATGGCACACACACTTTTACTTAGATATGATATAGAGACAGAATAAAGAAAAGCATGTTTGATAAATTGGATACAAAACTTCAAACAATCCCAATACAACAACAATATGAGACCTTTTGATCTATATATTATTTTGTCTCCTAGTTTATGAAACTATATTTCTAAAGAAAGCGATCTGGAAAGAAATGGATAGAAATGAGCTCCCAAAGTTTTTCAGAGACTGTGGCCGGTTTCCAACACAAAAGGAAATTAATACTGCAACAACTCTACTGTTGCAAGGTAAGAGATTTGCACAATAGTTTATAGATTATGTAGAAATATAGCAAAGGGTATTTTGGGGGCAAATGATACTTTGAAAGGCTGCTTCATTTTTTAGTTAATACAAATAAATAAAAAGTGCCTTATTTATTTGGTATTTAGAGTTTACTTATTTGAGGAAGTTGTGGATAAAAACCACCCTCACTCAAGTGACAGTTCCTTAAACACCATAGTTATTTTAAAAACTTTTATCATTTTGATATTTTCATCTTACTCTTCAACACATTATCAGAGTAGCTTACATGAGGTGCAAAATAAAAACATATATGAGCAAGATCCAGATCTTCAAGAGCTGAAGTATGAGAATTTTGGAAACATTCCTAAATGTATTTGCATATTTTCCTGTACCACAAACAGAAGGGGACTGTTACACCTTTTCTTTTGATGAGACCTTGAGTAGAAGTTGCTGATTTATTCCCTTCTGTGTCTATGCAATCCTCTGCTTATATAAAATGTAGAACGCTTTACAATCTATTGTTGTGTTGGAAGAAATATCCATCTGGTTCAGTTCCAAGTGGGGAGAAAGACCCTGGAAATCTGGAGGCTGATTGAAAAGACAACTTATTGATGAACAGGACCACATGGGTTTGATGTCCTGGGCAGCTGACCACATGGAATGGAGAGTGAGAGGTATTTATACCCTCTCTTGGGCTTGAACTTGAGCTTCCTGTTCCTGTGCAAGAATATGTATTCTATTAGCTGCTGTCAGACTCCCATGGGGCTACGCAGGGGTCATAGCTGTGGTTGTCTGAGATAAGTTTCGTTGAACCTTGCTGGGTGATGCAATGTCCATAGGAAATTTTGAAATGCAGTGAGCCCTGCTGCTAGATGGGTAGAGGCTAATCCTATTATGTCCTGAGGGGTTATGTCTTAATCCCATCACCCTAGAACTGGTGGTCTTTTGTCTTGTAGATAGACTGGCCCAATCTTTCTTAATGTGCATCAAAATATCTGCTGTGGGCAGGGACCTGGGTTTCTGGGTTTCTGTTTCCTTTAAGATTTTTATTTCAAGTGTGAAATCTTTTAGTCATTTATTTCAATTTCACTTTTACTGTATTTTGTGCTTGTTTATACATTTCTGTTTATTTACACTTACAGAGGGTTGGTATATAAAAATAATCATAGCTTCAGTTTATGTGCAAATGGAATAATGTTATTAATAAAAAGAAAACTATGTATGAAACTACTTACTCTGGGGCGAGTGTTGTAAATGTGTAAGAAATCCAAGAACAAAAATACATTATTAACCAGAATTAAAGTATATGTTTGTCTTAAAACTAATCTCTCTCTCTGTGTATCTAAATAGATACAGTGCATTACCCATTCAATTAGTTTTGGGTTCCAATCTGCAGCTGTGGGAGCAATCAACTCTTATATCCAAACTAAATAATATGTCTAAATAGGGAAAGAGAGAAAGCTAGGGTAATAGATTATTTTATTTAGTTTCATTTTAAACATTTCTGTTATTTCTCTGGTATATAATTTTTATAATGAATTTTTATAAATAAAACAAAAAACCTTTTTTTTTAAAAAAAACCCATACTTTTGTAGCATAAGCAAGAAAAAACAAAGCCTTGTCTTCATTCTGAAGTAATGAAAACAAATTTTAGCTTTTTTCCCACTAGGTCTGGAATAATCACATCCAGTTATAAACTAAGTAATCTACCCAAACTCAAAAAACAAGCACTTCTTGTATACGTAGCTATGATGACCATGTCTTTATACTTTATTTGGGGGCAATCAGAAAGCTGCAACAAAGAGCAATTGTTTTCTATCCTTTGTTTTGAAAGTAAGGACTACCAGCTATGGGCTGAAGTAATCTACCCTATAAAAGGTAGTGAACAGGTATAGCAAAATCTAATTCTGGATGGGAGTTATATATGAAGAGATACCTCCCCATAGTCCTATGCTTGGGAGAGACATTCTTTTCCATTCTTTCAAAACCACTTATTTGAGGATTTCATTTAGCAAGTACTCTTTGATTTTAGAAGAGCTGTTAAGGGACATTTTCTTAGCCACACATTTAACGTTAATAATTTTAGAGTATATAGGTTAATTATATTATTAATAGAAGAGAATATACTGTATTTTCCGGCGTATAAGACGACTTTTTAACACATGAAAATCTTCTCAAAAGTCGGGGGTCGTCTTATACTCCGGGTGTCGTTCTCCTGTAACCAGGCAGACCAGCCCGAAAGACTCTGACGAGCCTTAAATGGCTCTGGCGATCCAAGCTCTGACGATCCCAGCTTTGCCTGCTAATCAGGCAACTCAGCTGGGATGCCAGAGCCATATAAAAGGAAAAAAGTTTTTTCCTTTTACGTGGCTCTGCAAGCTCTGACGATCCCAGCTGAGTTGCCTGCTAATCAGGCAACTCAGCTGGGATCGCCAAAGCCCTCTAAAAGGAAAAAAGTTTTCCCCCTCCAGCTTGCTTACCTTAGCTGCTAATCGCAACGCTTGCCTTGCTTCGCTTGTCTGAATCCATTCCATCAGCAAGCCACTCCCTGCCTGCAATCAAGCAGGCAGGAGTTGTGGACTTCAACTCCCAGAATTCCTCAGCCAGCAAAACAAAGCTGGCTGAGGAATTCTGGGAGTTGAAATCTACAAGTCTTAAAGTTGCCAAGGTTGGAGACCCCTGTTCTATTGGGTAAGTTTTTTTCCCCTTTGGGAGCTTAAAAAAAATAGTTAATTGGGGTTTTTTTTAGTTGTTCTTTTTTAGACCTAGCCATTTAAAGTTTAGGAAGTTTTAAATTTAGTTTTCATATAAAAATAAAATAATATTTGTGCAGCTTTCTGAGATTTAGTGTGTTTCTGTAGTGTTTCACTCTAACTACACAAACACACAAAATCTCACAAAGCTGTATGTGGAATTTTGTGTGTGTAAAGTGTGAAAGTTGTTTTTTTGGGCTTTTTGTGGCTGTGTGAGGTTCCTGCTTGTTGCAGGGGCCATTTTGGGTCTAGCACAGTTTGTTTTTACATTGTGGGTGAGCCAGTTGTGTTGTGTTGTGTGTGTGTAAAGTGTGAAAGTTATTTTTTTGGGCTTTTTGTGGCTGTGTGAAGTTCCTGCTTGTTGCAGGGGCCATTTTGGGTCTAGCACAGCTGCTTTTATATTGTGGGTGAGCCTGTTGTGTTGTGTTGTGTTCTGTGTGTGTAAAGTGTGAAAGTTGTTTTTTGGGGCTTTTTGTGGCTGTGTGAGGTTCCTGCTTGTTCCAGGGGCCATTTTGGGTCTAGCACAGCTGCTTTTACATTGTGGGTGAGCCAGTTGATGTTTTTTAATTTTTATTTGGTGTGCGTTGGGAGAGGGGTAGTCTTATACGGTGAGTATAGCCCAAACCCTATATTTTAACAGGAAAAGTCAGGGGTCGTCTTATACACCCAGTCGTCTTATACGCCGGAAAATACGGTATATAGCTCAGGGTTGGATTGTGGAATCTTTGGTGCTGTCAGAGCTTGGTGATTTGCTTATAGACATTTCCTTACCTGCCTAGGTAACCTAATTACGTAGGTACCAAACTACCTATATTACTTAGGTAATAAAATGTTTGCAGGTAACAACCAAACTTGGAGAGCATTAAGGAGTATTATTTTCCTATTTTTTTTATTTTGCATTTCTAATTTACTCATGATGTTATTTATTGCTCTGAGTGAATGGAAAAGTGAGATAAATATTGCATATATAAAAATGAAGAAATAGCTTCTCATAGCCTTTTTGAATGAACACATGTATTTAAATGCACTTTCAGTGTAATTTTAAAACATTTTTAATACCAAAATCAGTGGTGGGTTGCTACCGGTTTGCCCAGATCGGGTGAACTGGTAGCCGTGGCGGAGGCTCTGCCCACCCGCCCAGACACCTCTGGGCATATGCAGAAGTGTTGCGCGCATGTGTGAGTGCGCGCGCGCCCATGAGCAAACTGGTAGTGACCAAAATTGAAACCCAGTACTGACCAAAATGTCTGTATTTTGTCACATGAACATGCTTTCCAGTTGAGAGAGACGATCAGAGGGCCTTTCAGTGTCACAGACAACAAGTGGTCAAAATAGGGAGCACTCTATCAAATCCTGCACCTGTAAATAGTGGTGTCCCCCAAGGTAGAGTTCTAGGACCAACACTCTTCATACTATACATAAACAATCTTTGCGATCATATTATAAGTAACTGCGTTCTCTTTGCCAATGATGTAAAAATATTTAACACCACCGACAATGCTGCTACCCTTCAAAAAGACCTTGACTTTGTGTCGGAATGGTCAAACAGTTGGCAACTCCAAATCTCAACCAACAAATGCTCTGTCTTACACATTGGCAAAAAGAATCAGAACACAAAATATAAGTTGTGTGGACATGACCTTGTAGATGACCTTCACTCTGTCAAGGATCTTGGAGTACTCATATCTAATGATCTAAGTGCCAAAGCCCACTGTAACAACATCACCAAAAAGGCATTAAGAGTTGTATACCTAATCTTGCGTAGCTTCTTCTCTGGTAGTATCATACTACTAACCAGAGCATATAAAACATTTGCTAGACCAATTCTCGAATACAGCTCATCTGTCTGGAACCCGCACTGCATATCAGACATTAATACAATCAAACATGTCCAGAAATATTTCACAAAAAGAGTCCTCCACTCTTCTGCTCGCAACAAAATACCTTTTGCCACCAGACTTGAAATTCTGGGCCTAGAAAACTTAGAACTACGCCATCTTCGGTATGACCTAAGTGTAGCTCATAAAATTATCTGCTACAATGTCCTACCTGTCAATGTCTACTTCAGCTTCAACCACAACACTACACGAGCACACAATAGATACAAACTTAAAGTGAACCATTTCAAACTCGATTGCAGAAAATATAACCTCAGCAACAGAGTGATCAATGCCTGGAATACACTACCTGACTCTGTGGTTTCATCCCAAAAGCCCCAAAATTTTAACCTAAGACTGTCTACTCTTGACCTC